CTCAACCTTAGCACCAGTCATTCTTGAATTGAACATATACCTCCTGTCAGTTCCACTGAGCCTGCAACCAGAGAAGACATTCACTTAAACTGAATCTACAAACACCACTAAATGTGCAGGTACAAAAGCAAGGACCAAAACTTCAGCCACGTTTATAAGCATTCTTAATTTGTTCAGAAGTTGCTGTCAAAAAAAATCAATAGTGTTTCAGAATTTATAACACTTCAAATAGGTCTACAACTCATGTCCCTTAACACTCTAGCTTAAAACATCCACAATGGGAAGCAGCAGTCTGCTGAAGTCTCCCACTGTCATGATAGTCACATCACTGCCACTTCATTTCAACTCTCTATAGTAAGTATTTGAAGGAACTGTCTGATTTGCACAAGTTTGACTGAATTTACGACCCCGTCAACCACTACCACTTACTCAATTAAACATTCCTCACAATTCATTCACCTCAGTACCAAACGTCTACTGTCCCATAATCTCTGCCATTGACAATAGTTAATTGAAATGACAACTATCATCCAGTAATTTAAATTCAAATATTTTTGTTTTTTTTAACGTTTCATATTATGTAATCTGCATAAAATAAATCTAGTTCATTATCTAAAAAACTTATCTAAGAAATATATGCTAAAATCTTATAGAATATCTGCTGGTTTTTATCAATGTGTTTAAGGAATGGACTTTTAATATAGGTATATACTAAATAAATACATATAGAACACCTTTAATTATTATATTTCATTTCTGATATATTCAATAAAAGTGTGGTTATTTTCTCCTAAGATGGTTTTGTCATTTAGCATGTTGGCTACTACTAATATTACTGTAAATATGTTTTTGCTTTTTCAAGTGGGAGCATTAATTAAATACTAAAGAAGACATCAAGGGGGAAAATAACTAAACAAAAGTAATACAATTATCAGTTTGGATTCTGAAAAATTTTGCACAAGTGATAAGATAATGCACTATTCTTCAGGCTAACGAATAACACATGTGCAATTAAATGTTTAGGCGTCTTATTTACTCTATGGTTATAGCGTCACCCTGCCAAATTAATATGCATTTCTCTGTATCATAGTAAGGCAATATTTTAGGAAGCTCTTGAGTTTTGCTGTATGGAATTGGTCCGGACTACTCATCTTTCTCCTGTTGCTCCATCATTCTTAGGGTGTTGTCCTTAAACACACAGTCCAAAATTGTGTACCAACTCATCTTCATTCCAGTTGTGAAGAAGTGAAAAGAGGAAAGAGATAGGTCCTTCCTTTTAAATGATTAACTTTGCAGTTGTTTATATAACTTAGGCTAAGAGTGCCTTATTGAGAACTTAGTCAAATGATCACACTTAGCATCAAAAGGAGTGGCAAATGAATTCCTCATTATAAGTGTCCATGTGTTCAGCAAAATGGGGTTCTCTTACAATAATATTGAAGGAAATAATGGTTATTTAAGATAATGTGTATTGTTCAAGCATGTAGCTAAATTTTAAGAAAGTTCATTTTAATTTCTATTCAAATTAAGATCTATACATTTTGTTGGGTAATAAGAATATATGGATTTTCAGCTGAGATAAATTCAATATCATGCTCATCACTACTGAAACTTTTCTACAAGTTAAGCCCTTTATTGTTCCCTCACCCTCAGGATACACATTGGCTCATTTTATTGCTAAGCTGGTATCACAGTTTTGTTGTTTCTTGGATGAAATCCTTTTCCCACCTTCTTCCTCTTTCCACATATTTTCCATGCCAATTATATCAACAGTAGGGTCTCTTAATCTGGGCACTATGCACACTTTGAATTTTGTTGTTGGGAGATGGTTAGCAGAATTCATCATTAGATACCAGTGATACTCACTCCCCATATTTATCACAATAAAATATTGATTGCCACATGTCTCTTGGATGGGAACCTCTCCCATTTTGAGAACCATTTATTCTTTACAGTCTTAAGACTACGTCATTTTGTTTCAGTAGAGTTCCTTAAGCTAAAGGCAGTGAATATATTTATTGGAACATTTTCGAAACATACATAATGTCTCAGCATGGTAGAGAGGCCATCTGTTTGTTTACCTTTAAAACTTAGAAATTATCAGAGTATAAAAAGCACACATAATTTTAATAAAAATTTTTAAGTGAAACATTTCTAAGTTTAAGAAATTTAAACATTTAAACATTTTTATTTAAATAGAAACATTGTTTTTAAACAATGCTTCTTTCCAAAGAGTTTTTAGGGAGTCCATCTCATTTATCATAAATATTTTCACTTTAGGTGTCTTAAATTGTGATGTTTAAGTATCATTGGTTCTGTCTAAAGAAATCTCAGACACAACCTCAGATCCATTGCGTTTTTTTTTTTTTTACAGGGGAGAGCATGAATGCAATCCCCCACTACCACAAATTATGCAGTCGAGTTTCCCACATTTGGGGAGATCGCAGGGGTCAGCACATCCGGAGTATAATGGATAAGCCTCGCCCTGGGAAAACCATCTTCGTGATCATGGTATCTCCCCTGCCAGGTAAGTGTGATCCATTGTATTTGAGATGAGAGCAGAAAGCTCCACTAAGGACAATTGCCAACTGGAATCTTTTTCAATATTGAGAGTTCAATCCATGCTATTCTTTGTTTTTCAAAAGATCTGCTTTGATATCTGCCAGGATGTCCACCTTTCTCCATGATCTCTGATGAGCTAGGCAATGTGGGGAGAACACTAGACTAAAAGGAAACACACTCAGAAGGATTCTAAAGAATACAATGAAAGTACTTTTATTTTCTAGACCTCAGGTTGCTCATCTCAAATTCATTTTTCAGCCCTCATGGTTATTTTTCTTTTTTATTTTATTGAGGGCTAATATGTGTAGACTAAAATGCATTAATCTGACACAACTATTACCAGATGAAGAAACAGAACATGTCCAGCCCTTCACAAATCCCTTCCAATCTCTTCCACCAATGCCTTCCACCCCACTCTGAGATAAACAATTATTCTGACCCCCAACATTATATTAATACTTTTGTTTTTTCCTGAGCTTCATATATTGGAATCATACAGGTGGTCTGATTCTTTCACTAGACATGATGAAAGACCACAAAACATGTTGTTGTGTGTAATAATAGCTGATTTAAAATTACATGTGTGCATCTTTTATTTTTTTAATACTGTGTAGCACTACATTGTGTGAGAATACCAAAATGTACATATCCATTGTGGGTGTTTGGATCTTTTATAGTTTATGGATATTAAGAATGAAGGCATAGGATACTTTTGTGCATGTCTTTTTGAATACATATATTCACTCTCCTAGGGAGATATCTAAAAGTAGAATTGCTAGATCACAGGGCAGTCATATAGATAGCACTAATAGAAACAGCTTTCCAAAGCAGTTATATAATTTTTCCACTCCACTATTAATATATAAGACTCCATTTGATCCAGATTTCACCAACATTTCAATATTTTAATTTTAGCCTGTCAGGGAGTAATTTTGATCTGACAAGTTTGATGTATGTCTAGACAATTAATGATACTGACATAGCATTTTGCAAAAAGAATGAAACTATTTTGCCTTGATTGCTTCATTTGCATGGCATTAGTTTTGATTACTCAAATGAATTTGTTTGAAAACTTTAAACTATTCTACTGGTATTCTTGACAAAAAACCTTTAATGCTAGTTTTAGTATTCTTCGGACATATAAATCTGATTCTGTTGCATAGCTTTTTAATTCAGTAGTTGACTTATTTCTTAGTTCCTACAAATACCTTCATTTTAAAAAAGACATTTCTACAAAGAGGAATAAAAAAGATTCTCTCTGAGGTAAAAGGAAAGATTTGGAAGGAACAAATCCTTTAACTATAACTTCAAATTGCCCAAAGTGTAGTCAAACTCCAAAAGACTAGGTTTATATATTATTCTGAAAGAGGAAAGAAACTTGGTAAATGTGTTAGCAGTTATTGATTTATTTAGTTATTTTGCTCTTCCTTTAGAAAGCATGATTGGATTTAAGAAAGTGCCCAAGGAATTTTCCTTTTGGTAAATGCTGGAGTTGGGGGTAGTTGCTGGACTGGGAAATTCAGGGCATCGGGGTGTTAAGGCTGCAATGCAGCCATGGATGCCTCATAGATGGTACCAGCAAGGGGAAAGAATATGGACATCTGAGATTTGAAAGAAAGCCACTGGAGGTTCCACTTTAGAATTCCATCATGGACTAGCCCTGATCTCTTGAGGGATGGTGTGTGAGGATTGGTGACAAAAGGGAAGGAAGTATTAAGTAACATTGTCAGTTTGCTTCTGTTAGGCCAGTTACTGAGAGAGTAGTAGCAATACCTCCCAGAGCAGGACTGTTTTTCTAGTTTCTTATGTAAGTAATGAATACTTCTGACTTGAAATGGGTCTTCTGTTAGGACTGATATTTGTTCTTTAATTTATCACTTGTATGCTGCATCATAGTTAATTTGCAGCAGTCAAGTGAAATGGTACTCAAGGTTGCAGCTATACAGGGCAAGAATCAAAGTGAAAAATAGTCCTGAAGTAAAATTCGTGTTACTGCAGCTCAAGGATGGAGCAGAAACATGGAAAATATGTAGTAAATATTGAGCCCTCTAGAAGCCAACTAGTGAGTATCCATTATTCCATTTTGATATTTTGCCTATGTGGACCTATTTCTATTTCTAAAAGAAAACCCAGTGGATTTTATTATAAAACCATAGAAGGAATGCTTATGTATTCATCACAAAAATGAGTCATCATGATTGTTGAGGGAAAGGCAATGCATTGACTTTTCAAGTAGTGCTTGTAACTCAGAAATATTTAACTTTTGTGCTCTAAGGTACCTAAATGTATAGTTAAAATTATTCTTTGCTCTTATTAACTCCAATACTAATATTAATATGTTTAATAATGTGTTAAAATAATAATATGACGTTATAACCATTAAATGCTGGCTTAGCTACTATAAAAAGTATTTTAAAAGTTTGTTGTTTGGAGTTTGGTGAGCTTCCGTCCAAACTTACCCGGTTCCCCGCGTTTTTTGCTCTGTCTTTGCTCCACCATGCCTTGCTCTGAAGAGCTATCGGTCGTCTCCCCCAGCAAGCGGACCCGGCCTGCGGAGGAGGGCGGCATGCGGCTCCGCTTTGTGCGTCTTTCGGAGCACGCCACGGCCCCCACCCGAGGGTCCTCGCGCGCCGCAGGCTACGACCTGTACAGTGCCTATGATTACACAGTACCATCTATGGAGAAAGCACTTGTAAAAACAGACATTCAGATAGCTCTTCCTTCTGGGTGCTATGGAAGAGTAGCTCCACGTTCTGGCTTGGCTGCAAAACACTTCATAGATGTAGGAGCTGGTGTCATAGATGAAGATTATAGAGGAAATGTTGGTGTTATACTGTTCAATTTTGGCAAAGAGAAATTTGAAGTAAAAAAGGGTGATCGAATTGCTCAGCTCATTTGTGAACGGATTTTTTATCCAGAAATAGAAGAAGTTCAAGTGTTGGATGATACTGAAAGGGGTTCAGGAGGTTTTGGATCCACTGGAAAGAATTAAAATTTGGGTCAAGAATAGAAAATGAGAAACATACTTTTTTTCGTAAAAGTTGAGAGGTATTGGTTAAATTGTTGGTGTTTAGCACCATTGTAAACTTAATAGTATTAACATTTGTAAAAATACTTCATTTTCTTGTAGTTAAAAGGATCACGCAGAAACTTATTTTCTGTTTTCTGCAGTTGCTGGTTGCTTGTAAATCTGCTTTGTGGTGATCTGACGCAAACATTTTTAAATCAGCTGTACAATTAACAGATTTTTTAAATTCAATAAACGATACCTCTTCAGCAACTTCTATTTAAAAAAAAAAAAAAAAAAAAAAGTTTGTTGTTTAAGTTTTTATCATATAATTCATAGATTTTTGAGACTATTTCTACAGTTTTCAGTACTCAAATAATTCTAATGATTTTAAAAATCTGAAATTAATGTTAAAAATATTCTACAGATCCAATAAACCATACCAAAGAACAAGTTCCTTGTTTAGTTTTTATAGTTGCCTTAACAGAAACAAATTTGGAAATGTAGTCTGAAATGAATAATTTAAAAGTTTCTGGGGAAATATTTTTTCCCATTCAAGCAATAGATCAAGGAAGAAAGTCATGCTGGTCAATGAATATTTGTTGAATGTCAACATCACAAAGACATCTCTATCTTCAAAGTAAGAGAGATACAATATTTTAATTGTAGTTTAGTTCCCCCAAAGTCAGTCTTTATATCTTTCTGCATCCTCAATTCTCTGATGGGATTTCATTAATCAAACACTCAGATTAAAACAAAGAGTAGTTGTAACCATGTTGATCTTTTCTCTAGTGAGTGACAAACATAGAAATGTTTCAAATTCTATAAAAGACATGGTGTGGAACATACATAGCTGATTAAGAGTTTTACTTTCACCTGAATATTTTGACAAATCCTGGAAAATCTTTTCTCAGTGATATCACTAGAAAAGAGGTCAGTTTTGAGGTTAATTTTGACCAATGGAATGAAATATCACATGAGAGCTATATCCAAAAAGGCAATATATTTTTTCTTTTAGAGAAACATTATATTTTGAATTATAGCATCATAACTTTTAATAAATATATAAGTGCATTTCAGTAGTACTGGATGACATTATCGATAATTTGACTAAACATTGTCATCACTTCTCCATCTATTCAAAATTAAAATTTAGAGTTAGATGAGAACCAGAGTAAAACAACAGTAAAAACTATGACTTTCAATATTGATGACAAGTAGAAAAAATTGTCCTTTAGTGAGATCTGGCCTGGCACCACAGTTTTCATCACTGATTGAAACCCCACCTGCCATCACTCTGTCTAGAAAGGGTTAGGTTTTACCAGAAGAAGGAGACTCAGGAAAGTAGACCTGTTGAGTGACTTTTTCTAAGTTCAGAGTATATCCAGTGTTCAAGTTCATTAACCTCAGGCACATTATGTAATGACTAAAGACTAAATGATGATATCAGCACATTTGAAAAAAAGCACAGTTATTTATACAAGTAAATCCAGATCTGCTCCACACCTCATGGTGACTACAGGTTTGCTTATTCCATTTCCATTTCAAGTTTCTAAGGGTATCTTCGGCTTTGCCTCAGAAGTATACTCGTCTCTATTCCATGACTGTATTTTTGTTTCTAGCGAAGTTGTCTCATTGGACACAGTGGACCACACAAATAATTAACCAGGTAACATTGCTGACCAGCAAATTTATTTTTTTTAAATTTTTTTATTCATATTTGTATACAATGTTTGGGTCATTTCCCCCCCCCTTCTCCCACCCCCTCCTTTACCCCACTCCTCTCCCCCTCACCCCCTCACTACCAGGCAGAAACTATGCTGCCCTTATCTCTAATTTTATCGAAGAGACAGTATAAGCAATAATAGGAAGGACCAAGGGTTTTTGCTAGTTGAGATAAGGATAGCTATACAGGGAGTTGACTCACATTTATTTCCTGTGCATGTGTGTTACCTTCTAAGTTAATTCTTCTTGATCTAACCTTTTCTCTAGTTTCTGGTCCCCTTCTCCTATTGGCCTCAGTTGCTTTAAAGTATCTGCTTTAGTTTCTCTGTGTTGAGGGCAGCAAATGCTGTCTAGTTTTTTAGGTGTCTTACCTATCCTCATACCTCCCTTGTGTGCTCTTGCTTTATCATGTGATCAAAGTCCAGTCCCCTTGTTGTGTTTGCCCTTGATCTAATGTCCACATATGAGGGAGAACATATGATTTTTGTGACCAGCAAATTTAATAAGCATCTAGGAGTTGCAAGATCCAGAGAATGCATGTAGATACCACACTTACTATTGTAGTATGAGAAAAATCCTAGATTATTCTGGGGGGCTTTAGAGGTAATATATATCCTCTAAGATTCTGATATTATGTACATATTTATGGGGTATAATGTGATGTTTCCATACATGTAAATCAGGTTGTACATATCTATATCCTCAAATATTTATCATTTCTTTAAGATAAAATCATTCAAACTCCTTTCTTCTACCTTTTGAAATACACAACACATTATCATTCTCTTTAGTCACTCTACCATGCAATAGCACACCAGAAAATCTTACTCCTGTGTAATAACTTAGTACTCCTTGGTCAACCTCTCCCCACCCCTACTTCTACCCTATTCTCCCTAGTCCCTAATCTCAACTTTTATGAGATCAACTTTTTAATATTCCACATATGAGTGAGATCATGTGGTATCTGCCTTCCTGTCCTGGCTTACTGCACTAAACACAGTGATCTCCGTTTCCATTTAAGAAATGGAAGAACACATGGGACTTTTTCCTTCTCTCAGTTTAAGAAATAAAACATTATAGAATCTCTTTAAAACCTCTGTATAAGGCCTGGCAGAGTGGCTCAAGTGGTAGCATGTCTGCCTAGCAAGTACGAGGCCCTGAGTTCAAACCCCAGTAACAAAATAAACTGACAACATTTTTATTAAAAACTATTTAAGCCATTATTTGTTCAAATTACAGAAAGAGAGATCAAGAGATCCATGGGGGGCCTACCTTAAAGTAGCCAAGTTGTGCTTGGAAAAATCAAAGCCTGTGTGCACAACTAGAAAATGATGCAGCACTCAAAGAAGGAAAAGCCATGTATAGGGTTCTCATTTCAGGCATGGCAGTCTGTAGGGGAAAGAGGTGCTTCAACTGAAACCACAACTAGCAGAGGAACACCACTTTCACCTGAACCAAAAATCACCAACAACTGTGCCTGTGGAGGTACAATGCAAAGTACCACAAATGTACTGCTACAATGGCTGTATCTATCACATCAACCAACCATAGTAGCACCACAGTTACTACTAGATTAGCTGAACTCATGACTTCTTTACCTAAAACTACAACTACTACAATTTCTTCTAGGCTGATAACCTCAACAACCACTCAAACTTGAATAGAACCTACAAATATCTACTGAACTGACAACCAAATATACATGGCAACTGCTTTAGCTGAACTCATGACCACAGCATTCAACCCAGCTTTAACAGTACTAAAACCCACCAAAGTATCTGCTGAATATATGGCCACAATATCAAAAATAACAGTAAGAACAATCCCTTTGATTAAACCTACAACCACCATAGCTACAACCCCTTCAGTTGAAGTACTACTGTAATAGCTGCCATTGCCACTTAACTGAAGCCAATAATGACTACAATTTCTGTAAAACCCATTGCCACAACAGCCATCCCCATTTCAAATAAAAGTTTGGAGGACAACAGGAAATGATACTTTCAACTGACCCTACAACCACAATAGAAAATATCACTTCAGGTAAATCCATAATCACAATAACTTCTACTGATCCTACTACCACACAGCTGCCATTATCATCACTATTTAAATTCACCCATTGACCCCTAGTAATTCAAGTGAACATCCCACTTTTCAGCTGAAACATAATGATCATACGGTCTACTGACTCTGTCACTATCATCGTGTCAAGTTAAGCTACCACTATCACTTCAGCTGAGCCTACAATTCTCACAGCTGCCAACTGTGAATGGAAGATACATTTATGGCAGGAAGTAGCACGTTTGTTGTGACTACACTCAGCATAACCCTTTTCCTCTATTCAGAGGAAGACACTAATGGATGTGCTGATGCCATCACAATCTCAGAAATGAGAGTCCCATAGTGACCTCCTCCAGAGTGACCACATCTTTAATTACTACCTGGATTATGTCACCTTTGCCAACCCTACCATCACTCCTAACTTCAGTTTGAGTCTATGAATGCTGGTGATTCTATCCAAACAGAAAGAGTTCATTGGATTCTGTAGACATGACACTGAAAATACATTAATAATAATTCAGTCTATCTCCAATGTACCAGTGCTACAAAGCACACAAATCTCTTTGTCTTCTAAGTCTGTTTGATTTTTTTTCATTAAAATTGGTATTGTGTTTGGTAGGAATTTGAAAAGTTCTTTAAAATTTTGGGTCATATAACTTTCCTAGCATAATAATCCAAATTTAAGGATTAATCTCCAAGAACTTGATGAAAGTTCACAGGTAAATTGTTTTTAATATTTGTTAGTATTCATTACCAATATTATTTTTGCTTTGATAAAGTTAAATCATCCATCATTAGAATGCAGTCTTTTTGCTGTTCATAAACTTTGTTCCTTTGTGACAGTATTGAATCCATGTACAATGTATTTTAAATAAGCATACACATATAATAATTTTTAAGTAGCATATTTTCTTGTCTTTATGGGTAAAAACACTTTATTTTCATATTTTCCTTCAGACACTTTTTCTGTTTAGCATCACATCTGTTAGGAGAACCATTTGATACTCTTTGTGTAACTATATAGTCACTTAGTTAAACATCAACATTTACCAAGTGCATGCCCCCAACATACTGAAGGACATGCAGAAGAAGTGACAATGCAGAAAAATTGACATCATAATTAAGTTGAACCATGACTTTTTGTTTATAAGTCCTCGGTATTACAGAGATTTAGATTGATTTTCATATCTCTTAGACTCCACCTAGGCTTACTGTATCAAGAACTAGTGAAAGTAGGCCAGGAATAATGTACATTTATAAACAACTTCAAGGTCAATTCTAATGCACAAGAAGGTTTAAGAGTCATAAGTCTAGGCCTGGGCCTGGTGGACATGTCTGGAATAACAGATACACTGAAGACAGAGAGTGGGAGGATCATGGTTCAAG